GAAATGATCATTGGATTGAGAAATAAAAAATATCTGTTCAATATTTTTAAAGAACATAATAAAAGTTATTCCCCCCCCCATCCTCTCGGGGTAGGGTGGGTGGTAACGTTCAAATCTCAAATGGGAACCCGAATCGAAGAGGGAACTGCTCGACGCGCCACTGTGGGTGTATGGCGAACTACGGCTTATTATAAAAGGCAGTGCAATGCTATCTATCACGAATGAAAAAAATTGTTTCAATAAAAATTTCACGTACAATCTAATTCTGCAGTGAAAAATGTGGGTCCCCATTTGAGATTTGAACGTTATCACCCACCCTACCCCGAGAGGATGGGGGGGGGGAATAACTTTTATTATGTTCTTTAAAAATATTGAACAGGTATTTTTTATTTCTCAATCCAATGATCATTTCTGGAGAATTGCGGAAAATATAATTTTTTGCGATTACAGCGCCATCTATCACGAATAAAAAAAAAAGTTTCGGACAAAATTTACGTATTTTGTGGCGTAGAATCCGTATCTGCAATAAAAAATGGGGGTTTCCACTTGAGATTTCAAAGTTGCCCCCAATCCCCACCCCCAGGGGGTGGGGTGGGAGGTCGAGTTTGGTATCATTGGATGTCCCCCTTCGAGACTAACAACTTTCATCGACCACTTCTTTTTATCCAATGCATAGTTCTCGAAATATTTCAATGTCTTCTCAGATAAATCGTGCACCCTGTATAAAAATTGTTTTAATCAGTAGTTTGCAGCGGCCAACCGCGCACACAGCCCGAATAATTCGAGCCATACCCATGTACAATTTGTACAATTACCGAACGCAAAGTTCGGTATCGGTATCGGTATCGGCATCGGCATCGGTATCTGTATCGAGTTACAAAATGTCCAGATGTGACTTATTACATTATTACAATCATGCGTCGTAGAAGCAAGCAACGAGTTGTTGAAATTAATGCTGCGACAAACTTGGATTTCGGTTATGAACACGATTTCATTATCAAGTTGACGCAAAATCAACTTCACAGACACTTTGAACGTTTGTTCAAAATGAATGTGCATCGAGAAAATATGATATCACTTCATTCACGATTGCACTATTGCACATCGAATAGGTCGTCTCTAAATAATAAACTTATACGCATAGCGCGTATTTAATACCGTTGGAAAGTATACGATAAGTTACACGGGATAAGTAACACGAGTTACCTACGTGCACTTATCTCTGGCGAATATACCATTCGTTCGTTGTGTACCGTTCATACGTACGACGTAACGCACTCACAACTCACAAAACAGCACTTTACGAAATGCTCTCTCTCTCTCTCTCTCTCTCTCTCGATGTAATCAGAGCATGCATTGTACATTGCGCGCTGCATGATATCAAAAAAATATCGGACTGTTTTCTCTCGATGTCATCCGTACAATAATTGTATTCAAGGAGTAGCAATTATTTTTTCCAACTTTACATGCCTCGAAATAGAATAGTAATGAAATATCGGTGTCGTACAGATATCGATTAGGCTGTCATGTCGACGACGCGACGGGTTTACCGACCGTCAAGCGGCCGGACGTCGCGACCTGTGTGTATCCCGAAAGAAACCTGTCTGTCTCCTTTCTGACACATACGCATCTAGCGCATGATGATGATGATGATACGACATTCGTCGTATTCAGCGTTAAATCGCGAAATCGTCCAGCACGTTAACCACTTGCGCTGGGAAGACGTGCCGCGCACGTCGTAATGCTTTTGTCACAGAATCGCCAACGACGTGGTATGTACGTCGTCATGCGATTGTCACAGAAACAAAAACGACGTGCGTGGCACGTCGGATGGGATTGTTTGCCAGACACAAATGCCAAAAAGAATCCACAGCGAAGGTGTAGAGTGTGTACCAAACACAAAAAACGAAGTGAAACTATATGGGAATGTAAGAAATGCCTTGTACCATTACATGTTCCAGACTGTTTCGAGAGATACCACACTTTGCATGATTATTAATAAATAAATTAAATATTTATATTTGTATAATTTTATAATCAATCGACGCTCTATATTCCCTTGAAAGAGCTATTAAAAGTCCTAGGTCGAAAATAAATTAGTTTAGAAAATATAAATCTTTTTCCGATTTCTGTAAGGCATCGAACACTGTGTGACGCCTCTCAGCGAGTTACACTGGACCGTTCTGGTACACGCGTCAGTGAATTTTTTGCCAGCGCAAGTGGTTAAAGCGGGACCTAACCTATTTTGCAAATCATCACGCAAATCGTGGCTGCGTCGTGTCCAAATCCTTTGCCACGATCTTAACGAGAAAGTGAAATTCGATGTCGCGACATCGTATTTCGCATTCTTTTAACAATTCTTCCAAATAAATTTGCCTATTTACACGTATATTCTCCTAAGGCCTTAGGCAAAACTACAACACTTGTATCAGTGCAACAGTGCGCATCAGTGTCAGTAAAGGAGCGCCTCGCGAAAAGATACATTTTTAAAACAACGAAACAAATAATAAAATTTTGTTGGATTTGACCAAGTCAAATGAGCGTAACGCTCATACCCGCGTGTGTGCACGTGCGTGCGTGCGTGCGTGCGTGCGTGCGTGCGTGCGTGCGTGCGTCGTGCGTGCGTATAAACTACGTACGAAGTATCACTATCGTGTTGCACATCGTATTTTTCAGAATTCGAAAAAAAAGCTCTCCCTTTCTTCTTCATCTTGACCGGGCGCAATATGTGCGCAAAGAAAAAGTAAAAGAGCGTGTGCGGCTCGTGCGCATTGTCATTTCACTTTCAATAAATTATCAACAAGTTTGTATTTGTGTTGTGTTGTGACAACGGTGCATATTACATATAAGTATTCGTTCTATTTTCGAGACTTGTTTTCTCTATTTCACGTTATTGGCCGGATTGTACCGGACTGCGATCCGGCCCTACCGGCCGATCGTTGTATAAGATATCTCCTCTTACAGGATAAATCAATAATTTCAACTCGAATTAAATGAGTCTGCGATTAATCTAATGTGATTTAATGTGTGTGTATGCGTGTGAGTACATTAAATTACATTATACATACACGTATACTAGGTGCGCAACTAAGTTTCCGGGTTTCACACATGGATGGCGCTAACGACACATGTAGTCGACACACATGTCTCTGAAGTTGTGTTTTTTTTTATAGCTTTTATAGTTCTTTGGACATCTGTTAACAATAACCAGTCGTAATACCAACACATAACGCAACCCAAAAATATTTTTTCTAACAACGAAAATGTCGAGTTTTGTGCCGAATAAACAGCATTTGCGGGAACAGCTTTGCTTTTCTGCTTTAACTTGAAAAAAAGTGCAGCTGAAGCACGTCGTTTGCTTGAGGAGGCCTACGGCGAACATGCGAACATCGATCGAAAACTGCCTGTGAAGATTGGTTTCAGAAAAGTGGCTTCAGAAGTGGCGATTTCGATACCGAGGACAAGGAGCTCTCCGGAAGACCAAAAACAATTGAGGACGCCGATCTGCAAGCGTTATTGGATGAAGATGATACGCAAACACAAGATCAACTTGCGGAGGCATTAAACATGACTCGCCAAGGTACTTCCAAACCATGTTTACATGCCATGGGAAGAATTCAAAAGGAAGGAAAATGGATGCCGCATGAGTTGACTGAGAGAGACAGATGGAAAATCGAAGAGCCACTTCCGAAATTTTGCTTTTGCGGCATGAAAGAAAGAGTTTCCTGCGAATCGAATTGTTACTGGCGATGAGAAGTGGATATATTTCGAGAATCCCAAACGCAAAAAATCATGGCTTTCACCTGGCGAAGCATCAACATCGACGGCACGGCCAAATCGCTTCGGAAAGAAGACAATGCTCTGCGTTTGGTGGGACCAGAAAGGAATCGTGTACTATGAGCTGCTGAAAAGAAGCCGGGCGAAACTGTCAATGGGCATCGTTACCGACAACAACTGATCAATTTGAACCATGCATTGCTCGAAAAACGGCCAGAATGGAACGAGTGATATTGCAGCGCGACAACGCTCCGTGCCGTCGCACTTTCATCGTCCGGGACACCATCAAAACGCTGAAATGGAATCTGCTACCGCACCCGCCGTATTCGCCAGACCTGGCCCCTTCCTATTATCACTTGTTCCGGTCGGATGGCTTGGCTTGGCTTGGCTTGGCTGGGCAACACTTGGCCAATTTCGAACAAGTGCAAAATTGGCTGGATGAATGGTTTCGGTCCAAAGACGCGTCGTTTTATCGTCGCGGTATTCATGTATTGCCAGAGAGATGGCAAAAACGTGTAGCCAGCGAGGGACGATACTTTGAATAAACCACTTTTTGTATTTCTCGTGAAATTTTCCATTTTTCATTGATGAAAAAGACCCGGAAGCTTAGTTGCGCGCCTAGTATACATATATGTATATGTACACATTTCGTGTAACGTAGGCTGTGGAATAACTCTGGCAGACTCTGCCTGTCGTATGCCTATGTCGTACACGTGCATGCGTAAAATTAAAAATGCTTCGTACGTACAAGAGTTGAGAATAATTTGTCCTATCCCCTTTCTTATTACGCGCGAGTATTGATGTGTGTGTTGTTAGAAACGTCAACAAGCATCTTGAAAATGTAATTCTCCGAAGGAGAATATTACAGATTATGCATGTTGCATGCACGTCTCATGTTCATGACACCATGTTAGTCCATGGCGTCGTATTGAAATTAAAAGTAATACGACCGACTTTATACACATAATTGTCGTGATTGATGTGAAAAAGAAGTGAACAAATGAAAATTACGCCCAGTTTCGTTATAGATACCTGGCAACAGAAATCTGGCGATCTCTTAGAATCAATCATTATCTCCGTTATCCACAACGGACTGTCTCGCGTGATTCGTGCGTAATAATGTGATAAATTTCAAGCAGCTCGATCACGAGGTACGCTAGAAAAGACGTGAACCAATGTTCACGTCTTTTGCATAATCTGTTCGATATACGTAATCGTTTTACCTTGCTTCTGTTTCGCGGTGCGAAGTCCTCTTTGCTAGCTTTCCTGCGCTTGTCCTTGAGGATCATCCTCGCCGCGGCGAAAGCCATCTTGTCGTTGGTGCGCACTCTTTTTCGGCCAGGTATAACAATATAACAAGTATCACCGATTTGATGCGTTAACGATTCTCGACGCGATAACAATATCTTTTTATTGCTCTTATTGCTTGGCGATTAATATTCAGCTGTGTATGTATGCTTAGCCGCTTACTCATGCATATTTCGATATTTACATTATGTATGCTCGTACGTATTTGTGCGATCGTATGTATCCGATCGTGTATACGTATACACGTACACAGCAAGTTGTATAAAGACTAGTAGTGCTATATGTCGTGAGCGTAGGATTCGTTCAACCAACGCCTATCATATCGTCTTCGCTACCGCCATCGTCAACGTTGTCCTCGTCCTCGCCCTCGTCCTCGTCTTCGTTCTCTTTCTCGTCGCTGCCGTTGTCGTCGTCGTCGTCGTCGTCGTCGTCGTCGTCGTCGTTGTCGGCGTCGTTGTCGTCGTCGTTGTCGTCGTCGTCGTCGTCGTCGTCGTCGTCGTCGTCGTCGTTGCTGCCGCTGCCGTCGCTGCCGCCGCCGCCGCCGCCGCCGCCGCCGCCACCGCTACCGCCGCCACCGCTGCCGCCACCGCCACCACCGCTGCCGCTGCCGCCGCCGTCACCGCCTCCGCCGCCGCCGCCTCCGTCGTCTTCGTCGTCGTCGTCGTCGTCGTCGTCGTCGTCGTCGTCGTCGTCGTCGTCGTCGTCGTCGTCGTCGTCGTCGTCGCTGTTGTTGTCGTTGTCGTCGTCGTTGTCGTCGTTGTCGTCGTCGTCGTCGTCGTCGTCGTCGTCGTCGTCGTCGTCGTCGTCGTCGTCGTCGTCGTCGTCGTCGTCGTCGTCGTCGTCGTCGTCGTCGTCGTCGTCGTCGTCGTCGTCGTCGTCGTCGTCGCCGCCGTCGCGGTTGCTGTCACCGCCGTGATCGCTATCGCCGTCACCGTCACCGTTGCAGCCTCACGACTCTAACGTATCTGCCACAATTCTGTCGCTTCCGATAGGTTCCTTCTTGCACAGTTTCTTCCGTTTCCGAGTTCAAGTTTAACTGCAACTTTTAGCGAAGCTTTCAAATGAGGCGTCGCACAAGTGAAGAAGTGTTATCGTAATGAAGTTTTAGGGCCTCGAATGCGGGCGCAACGAACAATTATGCCGCATCGTTGCCGTAAGCAAGGCGGTAGCCCGATGCTCATCCGGTCGCGACGATAACAGCCGAACCGGTAATACCGCCGAGAGTAGACCGGAAGCGACAACGATATTGATAGCGCACTCGCGCCAGCGGCGGCACTTCTCGGACGAGCTACTCGACGGCGAGATCTCGCGACAGCTCATCGATGACATTTGCCCCGCCGTGACGTGGTCGTTGTGTGCTTCTGGATCAGCGGCTCGTTTCCTCGCTGTTCCGCTCCGCTTCGCCGTTTTCGTCTTGTTCGGTATCGTTTCGTTCGCGAGGATACAAAACGACCGGGTGACTCACCGCGCACCTGATCACGGGTGATCACGGCCGCGAGCAACGACGCGCCCTCGCGTCTGGCTCGATCAAGCGACGGCTATCGTAATTACAATCATCGATCTAAAAAGAGAGACAGAAAGAGGTGGGAGTTGGTGGGAGTTGCTTTTACGCGAGGTCTACATCCTACGGCCGAACTACTCGTCGAACGATCGAACGTCTTAGTGGCAACTCATTTCCAGGCAAGACAGAGGAGCCGACAGACGAGTTACCTCGTCGATGAGCGCAATACGCCTTTTTAAGCGTTAATTCACATTTCTCGTTTTTTCTTTCTTTCTTTTCCTACGAAGAGATACTCACAGAAATAGAAAGGGTAAGTAACCGGCTTTCGAACCGGGTTAGCGGTTCCCGCTTTTTAGTTTAGTGAAACGAATCAGATTTGCATTCAGATGCGTCGAGAAACATCGAGACACAATACGAGGTACGGGTTTGCTAAATCGATAAATGAATTTCTCGAATCGAAAATGCGGAATTCGAAAATCGGGAAAGTGCGGAAAGTGCGGAACACGCACGATCGAAATATAGAGCAAACGATGAAAGGATAAAGGAAAAGGAGGGAGGAAAAGGGGGAGAGGGAGAAACAAGGAGAGTACCTTAAGAAGGGGGAAAGGGCGAAGGGAGGGAGGAGGGGGGAGAGAGAGAGAGAGAGAGAGAGAGAGAGAGAGAGAGAGAGAGACAGTTTGTAACCTCGGCGGTAACGCATACGCGAGAACGACAATGAGGCTTCTGCGGAAAAATTTGTCAATCGCAAAATCGCAATCAACGCATCGAGACGAGATTCGCACTTCTCGGATGATGTGCGAACACTGCGTGAATTTCTAATGTAAAATATATTCGCCGTGCGAACAATTGAGTCCCCTGATTTGGAAACACTCACTTTGTCGAGTATGTAGTTGTTGAGCGTTGCGCTGATCGCGTGTACCAAACATTTCGTAAAATGCGCAATACTTGCCAATTTGCCAAATGATTTGCGATTGCGATTTACGGCGAATTTTGTCGAAAATTCGACTTTCGATGGCCCTGCGACCACGTCGCGTCGTAACATTTCGCACGCGCGAGTCGCAACGCGATATAAACAGTTCTGAAATCTGTTCTGAAATCGTTGGCATCGCAGAAACTCTTCGATTCGGGACCTTTTAGGCACGGGCTTCACCCTTCACTAACTCCATTTTTCAGCGGCACGTGTGCATCGCCAGAACGCGACACATTTCTCCGTTTGGTCGGAGGGGAAGGGGAGGGCCTTGGGAACACCACGTGCACTCGGTGTCATTAATATTTGAGCGATATCGGACAGCACGACGTCGCGATGTCGCGATGTCGCACGCATCGCCGCAGCGTGCGAAGAAGTGTCGTCTCGATCTTTGATCTCGATTATATGGTACTCACTCGTTCCATCCATACCGCGCGACGGGGACTTGGTCCGAGCGTTACGTCGGATTTAAAATTCGAGATCCGGCATAATGTTGCATAAAGGGGTGAAACTGAAATCTCTCTCTCTCTCTCTCTCTCTCTCTCTCTCTCCCTCGCTCTCTTTGTAATCCACGTTAAGAGGATACAAGAATATTCTTCGTTGGTAATATTCTACGGTTATCGGAATATATTTGCGACAGTCATAGCTCGAATCTACGTGATAAAATCATTCAACGTTGACTAAGCCTCCCCGCATACGTCCCATCCCCGAGACACTGAAAGGCCCGAAACAGTTCATACATAATTACGGTTAGTAATGATACAACGCAACGGTGATAAATATGGACAAAGAATGATTGGGAGGAGAATAGGATCGGGAATGAACGATATCGGGACCGCTCTTGCGAATCGTCGTGGCGCTCCTCGCGGCCCATCTTTCGTGGGAACTCTCGTGGGAACTTGGCGTACGAGTAGTATTGATCATTCCCAGGCTGCAACCACCCCTTCCTGCTCCCGCCGCTATCCTTGCCGCTATCCTTGCTTGCTCCTCCCCCACCCCTCAGAAACCCGTTCCTCACGCCGCTCAACCTCACGCAGCCCGCAGCCGGTATCCGCGGCCGGCATCGTTCGACCGTCATTCCGCGTCCTCCGACCTCCGATCTCTGACCTCCGACCTCTGTACCCCTCACAGACCTAACCCTTTACACACAAGGTACGTACATCTCATTTCCCCGTCCTTGACCGCAAACATCGGACATCCGGACCGGAGCGATTCCATCGCTTCGATCGACCTCGATTGCACCTTTCTCACAGAAATCCGACAGAAATAATCTTTCCGTGTATCGATGAATTTTAATCTCGTAAACGATGACTTTTATTTTCGTATCTGCAAAATCGCTAAATAACGATTGATAATCGAATAGCGAAAACAAGGAGCAGCATCCAAATAAAAGTAAAAGAAAAATACGCGACATGTGTGTACGTGTGTGTGTGTGTGTGTGTATGTAACGTATCGAGAAACTTTTAAATCGTGTTTGGCGTAATCGGACGAGTGGGAATAATCGGGGGAGGAAATGATTATTATTATCAATTTAGAAACTCACACACGCATAAAAGAGATTTCACAGACAGCATGGAAATTTTGTTGCATCTTTTGACAAACGCGTTGTGCAATAATTTGTTCGAAAGTTGATAATGAACTATCATTACTATCAACGTCGCCGATATCATAATATAATCATTCGAGTCGTACAGTCGCGCAATCGTACAGAAATTATACCGTGCGTAAGAGACCGATGTGTATATGTGCGCGCGCGCGCGCGCGCATTGTCGTAATATTTTCAAAAAGTCAACCCCGGATAAAATCCGACTTTTTCACAAGCGTGCGTGTTAATGCGTGTTAATGCGCGACGCGTGTGTTTCCTGCAAATCAACGTTCTTCCGACGACGGGCAAGCAGATGGTGGGATACATCGTAGGATGATAAAAATCAAAATCAGTATCGAGTTTCTTCTTTTTGCACCTGTTGCCAATAAAATGTCCCGCGAAAAATACGTATCACATGTGTCTTTGTATGTTACATGTTACAGTTGTCGAGTGTTTCCGGTGATAAGTATCGTCCGAAATAGTTATAGTTTAATGCGATAATTAATAGTCCAACTTATCGCTTACTTTACATCTAGCGATGATCCCGTAATTCTCGGAACACTTTACGCAAAGAAGACCGGCATGTTCAAAAACGTGCCCAAGAATGCCCGAAGAATACACGCGAGCGCGCGCGCGCGCGCGCAAATCCAGGTTCCACGTCCTACTTACGATATCGACGACTGCACGAGAGTTGGCCATACCGCAAAACGTTTCTGCCATTGAGCGTTTACCTACGCGATTACGAATTGCAACATCTCCTACATCACTGCCGTCGTTCTGCTAGAGATGGTAGACGGTAGATGGTAGATGGCTGTGTGTAACAGTCAGCTGATACGTCCGAATATCTCGCAAGAAAATTCAATTCAACGAATTTCTCGTTCTCAACTTAATCCAGGTTCTGGATTATACATTTCTTTTTTTTTTTTCTCATTATACTTTCGCGCAATTTTTCAGATTCAGTAGTTACCGACGCGATAGTTGAAACGAAAATTGCGAAATTATTCTTGTTGAATCAGCTCTCTTTCTACTCCCATGCGTCCTGGAAGCACTGGATAATTTTTCTATACACGCGAGTGTTTGCAACATCGATATCGGATATCAAAGAGAACTAGCAGTAAATTTTAATGTTGAGATAGAGAGAAGAAGAAGGAAAGAAAGCAGTATTCCAGCAGTGTTTCTTTTCTCTTCCTGTGAACTCTTCCGATGTCTGTCGTCCCGCTATATGTCCTTCTTTCTCCAATCATTATTTATTATCGATCACTGCACCTCGCAACAGTGTTAGGCTACTCTTTGCATTCGGCGATATGGATATGCTTAACTACGAGGACGGTTATGTAGGTGTCGTCGATC